ATGGCGGACTCACTACTCAAGCATTTGGTTTGGTTCAATCAAGCAAGGTTTGGCGCGCGAGAGAGAGCATTGCAGTTGGGAGTCCCTCTCCAGTCAGAAGCCCATGGAGTGAGGGGTCAACGAACCTAGAAGCTTTAGGTCAAAAGGCTCAGGCCATTTTTTGCTCCAAGCTGTACTTTGGCACATTCGAAGAACAGAGTGTGTCCATGATCGATCATTTCCTCGATTCCCTGCACAAAAGGCCAGGTTGAACAAGGCGGTGGTCAGCGCCTGCTAAAGAAGGTGGTCCTGCTATTCAAAAGGCATTCAAAGATTCTTTTTCACCACATACTTGAGATTGCACTGTACTGTTTTGTGATCTTGAGTTGTTTGAACACAACACATTCACGATTTGCACATCCAGGACAATCTACATTCAAGCAACAAATCCAACCATCCAAAGAGGTCTGTCTCAAAAATGCCTTGAACCTTACTGTCAAAGGGAACGTTTGGTCAACAAGCACCTGGTGACTTAACTTGAGTCTGGCATTCCTATCTGGCACCATGCTCGACGTGTCAAAAGCAAGGGTCTTTCGATGGATTTGAAAGGGAACCGAACGGAAATCAGAATCACTTGAATCTGGTCTTTGATTTTGACCCACGGGCCACAGAGACAACACCCGGCCATGGATGTGGTGATCGCAGGGGCTTCCGAAAAATATGAGTCTTGTATGAAGGGAATGACCGAGACCTGTCATGCGTCCTTGGTTTCAGTTTGGTTTCAACATAGGTGGACTGGTTTCATGTTGATCCTTCAGTCGCATCCAGTTGGATCCCTTCAAGTGAACATGCTCAAGGGTTGTACAAGTTACTTTTGGGATCGCTCCCCTGTTCAAAGGGTACCCGGCCTCCAAAAAACAGAACACGCCCATTGCTTGCAATTCGTTTCGCAGGATCTCCGCCTTTGTGCTCGTGTGCGGCCACGTCTTGGCCGACGTGGGGCTCTTTGCGCTAGCCTTGGTCTTCCTGGTCTTGGCCTTTGCGCGCCTTGGACGCGGTTGAGCGGCAACGGGGGAGTCAGCTGACCCCGGATCCTCATCATTTTGCACCCCTTTGCACCCGTGCAAACGCTTTCAGCTGCCAAAGGGTCGCAAATATTCGGCTCCAGAAAGCGAAACAAGTGCATGGACTCGCAAAACCCACAGCAAGTGCCATGTTCGTCTCGCTGAGACTTTTAGCCATAGGATCAAAGGAGACTGGATCGGACAAACTGCAAACCAAGCGGTCGACTGGAGCTTGATTTGTCGATAGGCGCCAGAACGCCACGTTGATCATTTTGCTCAGTTCGACCAACCTAAAAAACTCATTGGGAATATGCTAAATAAACATGTCATACTGGCTGCATAAATGCAAGAAGCCAACCATCTGGGGACCCAGATCAACCATGTGGACACCCTTGTCCAGGGGAGTTAAAACAAACAACCCAAAAAATATTCCTTTTCAAACCCAAGTGCGGAACACGGGCCCTGTTGGGGACCCCAAGTGCCTTTGTCAGCCGCCATGTTCAGCTCCAGTTTGAAATGCTTCGAGCTTCAAGTCGGAGGTTCAGTTAAGGTAGCATTTCCTTCAGCCTTCTTCAAGGAAACACATACCCTCTTGCCTGGGTCCGAGCCGCGCAAATGATGGGACAACTTGAGAGCAATGGGACGGGAAAGCTCTCAGATCTGAGGTACATCCCAATTGTCATGAGATCATCAAACGCCAAGGCTTCGCAGGAGGCACAACTTGAAACTTGGAAAGACGACTTGAACACGAGGTTTTCAGCTGTAGGAAAAGCTTCGACTGCAAGCTGTTCTGGTACTTTTTTGCTTTGGTCAAGCAACAGCAACCAGCTTTGGTTCGGGGAAAGCTCGTACCCCCGAACAGACTGACCCTTGGCACGAATCGCGAGGACAGCGATCAGTTCACTGGACCACGGCCTCGCTGACTTCTCAGGCAGTTAGCGAATCGACTGGGGGCCTTCAGGGTTGGACCAGTGCTTGGCTTATTGGTTGATCAACGAATTGGCTGATTGATTGGATTGGATGGGATGGGATGAAATGGATGCATGGATCGCTTGCTTGCTTGATTGATTGATTGATTGATTGATTGATTGATTGATTGATTGCTTGCTTGCTTGCTTGCTTGATTCATTGATTGGTTGATTGATGATTTATTGATGGATTGATTGACGCATTGATGGGCCGATTGCTTGCTTGCTTGCTCGGTCGGTCGGTCGGTTGGTTGGCCGGTTGGGGTGGGTTGGGGTGGGTTAGGGTGGGTTGGGGTGGGTTGGGGTGGTTCGGGTGGTTGGGCTGGTTGAGTTGGCTGAGTTGGTGGAGGGCATTGAGTTGGGTGAGTTGGTGAGGTAGGTTGAGTTGGCGGGTTGAGTTGGTGGATTGAGTTGGTTGGTTGGTTGGTTGGTTGGCTGGCTGGCTGGCTGGCTGCTTGCTTGCTTGCTGGCTTGCTTGCTGCTTGCTTGCTTGCTTGCTTGCTTGCTTGCTTGCTTGCTTGCTTGCTTGCTTGCTTGCTTGCTTGCTTGCTTGCTTGCTTGCTTGCTTGCTCAGCCCATTATATGCATGCCCACGCTTTCTGCGTTGCTTTATGTGCTCCCTTTGCGGCTTTTGTAATTTGGTGTGCTTCTGCAAGTCCCTCCTCATGCCAGCGAAGGTAGCAAGCTACGAACAAATGCGTGAGTAATTTTGCCACGATTGGGTAGTTTTCAGCAGCTCTAGAGAGACAGGCTGTGCACTCTTGCCAGAGAGGAACATGGTGAGCTTTGGAAACCTGGCCCTGCGTTTTGGTCTCCAAACACATGCCTTTTCTGGCAGTTAGAGTGCTTACGGGATCCCTTGTGCGGGTTGGTTGGAAAGGGAACCCACTTCCCCCCCCCACCCCACGATTTTTTGGGCCCTCCGATTTTAGACGCGCCATTGTTTCACCGAAAGGTTCGGCGAATTCGCAGGTGTCGATCCCTGGCTGGTGAGCTTGGTGCAGATGACCTTGGGCATGTTCCCCCCGTCGCAGTACGGGGAGTTCCAGTCCGAGGTCGCGGTGGTGCTGGCGGTCTCAGCAGCTTGGCGAGAGGTGAAGCTGGTGCTAGGGGTGGTTTTTGAAGGGATCCAGCTTAAAGGCTACAGGGGTTATGGATGGTGTATCGGGGAGTTTAAGAACGAGCAGGGTTTCCCTGTGGTCTCAAATGTTGAAAATCAACAGAAGACACTCCGGTTGCAGGGTTGGGCTTTTGTGCACTGGACAGTTGCAAAATCCGAAGCTGATGGGAGATAGAGACAGAGAGAGAGAGAGAGAGAGAGCGAGGGGGAGAGAAAGAGCCACAAAGGCAAAACTTGAGCGGGCAAACTTGGACATTTACGTCTCCTTATGCTATTCTTGGTTGCTCTCGGGTTTGACCCAAGTTTTTCACCTTCGGGACAGTGATGGAAGCTTTCAAAGAGCAAAACTCGACAACTGGGGAGTCCTGGCTTACCTCGGTTTCAGGGTCCCCCAAATGGGGGTCAAGCCTTCAGCACCTTTAGAATTGGATGGTCACTTGAGCCAAAAGCCTGGAAATTTGGAGGGTAGGGAGGAGTTATCATTGATTACCGTGAGGTCTTTGTGGCAGTCGTCACCATTTTCCTCTTAAACTTGCTGATTGCCCAGCTGAACCAGTCCTACCACGATGTCTTTGAAGACATGCAGGCGAGGCACGGAAGGACGACGCCAAAAGAAGCGCCCCGGGGTTTGCAAGATCCGTGATTCGCGAAGGCAAATTGCGTTGCTGGCCCCAATGTTGACCTTTGCCTCTTGATTTTGCTTGATTGCAGTCCGTGCAATTCCCTCTTGGTTCTCGTCTGTTTTTGCTAGGCACTTGCAAGCCGTTGCAGAACGCCGCTTCCAATGGCACAGCCAGTCGCTTTCCACTCATGGCAGTGCATTTGGAGCTGTCAAGCAACCTGTTTCCAGGGGAATGCCCATTCTTGGTTCCTCTTTGATTTGACTGAGGTAGCCTTTTAAACAGTGTTGTTTCAAGCAAGAAAGCAGTTCTTTTTCCGTAACTATGCCAGACGGTAGTGGCTTCCAGTTGCAGATTTGGATAAGGGATCCCCCCTTTTGGATCCCCCCATTTTGAACAAACTAGATAGGCATTTGGACAATATTTGTTTCCCCACTGCCTAGCCGCTGTTTAAGGATCAACCGCATTGGGCAAGGTACTGCGGAATAAGGGGCGCTGTTTGTGCCTGATTCAAGCGAACATGTGTCGAGCTGCGGGCCATCCGTGGGCCCTCAAAGCCCCATTGGTGACGGTAGGTTGCTCTCCCTGAAATCCTTGAATGTGTGAAGACCCTTGGGAAGCGAGTAAGCCCAAACACAGCAATGTGGCAGTTTTTGAACTTCATCCCCGATAGCAAGGGATGTGTCCTTCAACCGTCACATTAGGAGAAGTAGTTACCAACTTGCAATGCCCCGAACGGAACCATGAGCACGGGAGTTCTTCCTCCCAAATAATGTGCAGTACTTGGTACCAGAAGATAATACAGCCCTTGGTTGATGCTGAGATTAGTCTGCATCAAATCCCATGTCGAACAAACCAGAACCTAATCTTTGCTCGGATTATTGTCCTAAGCTTGCAGGTCCCCATTGTTGGTTCAGCACTGAGGTCCCCCGGTTTTTTGGGGTCGACCGTTTTGATGCACCAAATTCAAATTGGAGGTTCAGGCCAAGGACGAATGTCGTGTACCTGTTCAGCCATGCTCACCTCTGTTCGAAATGTTCAGCTTACCAACTATGAGCTACGAGGGGTTCAAAAGGGCTTGACGACTGTCCTTGGTCTGTGGCCAGTCTCTGAGGGTAACCTGTTCGATGTTGCCTACGGAAACAAAAGAGAAGCCACCCGTTTCTTTTGAGGGTGTGGTAATGGAGCAAAGTCTTCAATTGAGAGCTCATGAACGAACTGACTACTGTAGATTTGTCTGAACTGAACAGAAACCCATCACCTATTGGAATATGATGAGCTGCTATCAACGCGTTGAAACCCCTCTGGGCACGTCCCATGTCAGACATTGCCTCAGGGCTTCGCTCGCCTGAACCGGGCGGGTACCACGGCGGTGACGCTAGAGCAGGTCCCCAGGAAGAATTGGATCAGGCCACCTGGCGTGTTCAGCGAAACGAGTCCGGCAAGCTTGTTCGGCGAAGTACGGGAGTAGATAAAGAAGGAATTGTTTTGATGGCATGTGTCAAGACAGGAGGGACCACACAAATGGTAGTTTCCTTTTGGGTTCCCCACAAAGGTCAGTTATATGTATATTCAAACAGGAATTGTGTTTATTGCAGAGGCCGAATTCATAAACCTGATATTGGAAGGAACCTGTCATTTTTTACACTCAGGCAGGGGACGCACCCCGAAATGGAACCGTACTGCGCCCTGTTCAGTGTGAAAGGACATGAGTCTTCTGACAAGGGTAGGTGCTTGTGTTGGGCAAGGTGGGATCATCCCCTTTTGGTGGGTGTTCAAAGGGATTCCACAAGGGACCGCCCCACTCAGTTTTCTCCGGTCAACTGATACTACGCTCACCTTGGTCACCTGGGGGTAAACGAGCTCCTTCACGATCAGTGTTCTCACTCGGGGATTCCATATTTCCGATTCGGCCTAGACGACTGTCAAGATGCTCCTTGGTGGCCGTTCTGTGCGGCTCATCATGGCTTGGATGCATTCGGTTAGGGTAGTGTTGGGGATCGGATTTAGGGGGAATATGTCCACGTCCGCAGTTGGTTGCGACAGACCACCAACGAGGTTCATAGTCAGGCGGTCAGTATGATCTGCTTTGGGGAGGACACCCGGCAATGTTCAAGTTGAGAATGCAGATTCAGCTGGTTGAATTGTCGGATTTTGCGAACAGAGGCACAAAGCTGCGAGCTCCACCTCCAAGCATTCTTTCCATGCCGCGGCCAGGGTTTCTCGAAGCATTGCCGGGATCAGTTGGCAGCGCCATCTCAAGGATGCCAAAGAACCTTTTGAAGCCACTGGACAGGCCTTCCAGGGAAGTTCTGACTGCGCCAAGCGCTGTGAGTTGGCCTTGGAATCGGAAGCGATTCCAACGTTTGTGGTCGGTTCCGAGGTTCCGCGACCAATTGCAGTTCGACGAGCGCCTGGCAACTTGTCGAGAGCAAACTGGGCTCCTAAAATTGTGAGTGTCCGTTTAGGGACCCCCCCAAAAAAAGGCAAAACATGCTTCGTTTGGTGTCCCTTGTTCACCAAGAAAAAGTACCATCAAGAAAGACAGCAAAAATAGAGCTGGATTGCCTTGTTTTCGTCAGAAAGCAAAGCAATTTAAGAGAAGCCCCGGTTGGAACCAGAAACCAGGCACGCGACCTTTTCCTGCCCTCTCGCCTGTACCCAAGGATCTGGAAGACGCATGAGTTGGTTATTTGTTCGGTTTTTCTTATTCCAGGTTTGGTTTTTGGAAAGGGCTGACAAGACCCTGGCCCCTGCTTCTGCCAAAACATATTCTCCCTTTGCAGGAATTCTTCACAGAATGGAGCTGCACTCTTTTGTGAAGGTTGATCAATCCGGGGCTTTCTGTAGCTGTTGCTGCCGAAGTCTCACTAGACAACGCTTTGGATGCGGCTTGTGATCCACCCCAGTGCTAAACGAGTAAAAGAACCAACGGGAGGAAGAGATGGAACACACCAAACGAGCATCCGAATTGTTTTCTCGATTGAGTGCATAGCGAACATGGGCTGCGCTTCAATGAACCTATCGCTATGTTTGCCGACTGGGCTCCACGGCAATGGCACAGATGTGCGCCTTTATGCGAACTTCGAGTTTGCATGATTGAGACCTGTCCGTACTGGCTATGTGCTAATATGAATGTGTTTGTGTAGCTACGTGTACAAATATGTTCGGCACAGCTGGCCCCGTTTTGATTTATCCACAAGTTTTGTCAATGGGCGTTTCTACACTTCGAATCAGGCCAAGGCTTTCGACTATTGTGAGCCACGCTTCAAGAGAATCTGTCAATGCGCAACACGAACACACCTGGTTATACAGTCCAACATATTTGTACTGGCATGTGGGACCTTCCCAAAAGGGACACACTAGGTTGTTTGTTTGATTGTTTCTTGTTTGTTAGTCTGTGTGTGCGCATGTGTTTGTGTGTTGTGGGGAGGGGGGTATGCAGGTATGTGTTACACGTTTGGCTGGCAACAGTTCTACTCGATGGACACGCTCACACACGACACTTCTTGTCCAGGACCCTTATTTCAGGGAACAAAAGCAAGAAACATACCTACACAAGGGATGGCTGAAAGTGCCCGTTTATGGTCGGGAGAGTATGTTCGCCTTCCGCGTATTCCCATGCTTTCTTTTTGATCTTTCCGCGTCAGTTTGAACTGGACGCCACGGCGCACGGCGATCTGATGTCACGCAACGCTAGACATATTTTTGTCATGTGTGCTTGCCAAAATTCTAGGTCCTTCCCTCTCCCCCCTTTTTTAAGTGGATCTGCCACTGTTTCCCTGGAGCATTCGTTGTTTCCCCGGTGAAGCCCCCGGCCTCCAGCGAAGCCGAGGAGTTCAACGAGGGGGACGTGGGCTTGGCAGGTGGCATTCAGGTGATGGAGCCGGCGAACGCCAATCCCATCACCGAGGACGCCGTTTTTTTCTTCTTCTTCTGCCCGCGTGTGTCGGTATTTTTGTTGATCCCCGAGGAGCGATAAACTTGCGAGATCCCAGAGGATCAAAAAAGCGCCATCAACACCCTCCTCCCCATAGTTTTTGAGAGAAGAGGAGGGTTTCCAGAAAAGCGACCTTTGTACTCCGGGAGAGAACGCCGGCTGGTCCTTCTGAGCTGATGCAAATGCCAGCCCCGCTTTCCTCGGCTGTTTGGGGTTTCAACGGGGACCCTTAAAATCCACCGTGGCAAAGGTGCCCTTTTTTCCCAGTAGTCTCAGATCCACCCCAAGCCCCCGGCCACTGGTCCTATAAATCAGCCAACACATGCCATGCTCAGTTTCGACCTGTTTTCTTTTGCTGGTAGCGACGGTCACAGACCCCTCAATAACGAGTTTAGACAACCTAAGAGTGCCCAGAAATGGGAGGCATGATTTTGGCTGACGCACAACTTGGAAGCGTTGGATGCATGGATCGTCAGATGATTCAGCGTAGAGTGTTCAATGCTCCGAATTGACCAAGCTTGATTGTGCATGTTCTAGCACGAAACGGCAAATTGGTTCAACACACGAGGGGGGGGCGCTACTCATCACAAGGTCTGAGGGGCACAAGCAATTCAGCGCTTGACCCCCTGTTTTGAGCAGCCCTAGGGGCAAATGGGACCTGGGCACGGGGGGGTTCGGGGTAGACTCGTGAATGGTACTTGGGAGTCGGGACAGGACACCATCCGTCGCTTTGGTGGCTCTACAGCTCCGAGCATGCCCTGGCCAGCGGAGCACGAGGCGCTGGCCGCTTCGCCATGCCAGGGTCTTGTGACCTGGGGTTTTTGTGGTCATCAACCCCTTGAAGAGTTTATACAACCATGGTAAGGGAACCATGACCATGGCCCACATGGGAGTTTTGATGGCACACTTCATCAAGAAACAACCACTTCAGGATGTGCAAGGTCCATGTGAGTTACATGTCAGAGACAAGCCCACAGAAACTCTTGGCTGAAGCTCGGGATCAGAATATGAATAGCAAGTACTCATCGATGCTTGAAACACAGAAGGAGGATGACACTTCCAATCCCTTGACATCAGCTTTGCTACACTTTGATCTCATGGCGAGACGAAAGTGTCCACCCTGAGCGCCATTGCCACTGCGTTATATGTACTATTTTCAAGGAGTGTGTGGGTGCGTTCGTGTTTGTGTGCATGGTTGTGGTTTGTGTGTTTGTGTTGTTTGTGTCTCTGTGCCTGTGTCTTGCTCTGTGTTTTGCTCTGTGTCTGTGCCTGCGTCTGTGTCTGTGTCTGTGTTTGTGGCTGTGTCGGTTTCCGTGTCCATGTCTGTGTCCGCGTGTGTGACTTCGTGTCTGTGTTTGTGTTTGTGCGTGTGGGGCGTGTATGTGCTGTGCCTGCGTTTGTTGTGTGTAAGTGTGTGTTTGTGTGTGTGTGCGCGTGTTGGGTTTGTGTGTGTGTGTGTTCTTTTGTTTGTGAGGGTTTTATGTGAGGTTTTTGTTGTCTGTGCGTGGCTGTGTTTTCAGAAGCGTGACATCTGCAGATGCAGTTTCAAGCCCAAAGAAGCCGACACAGGCCCACAGACTACAGACTCAATCACAACATCCAGCAACACAATGTCCACAATTACTATACAAACACACAAGCACCCAGGCCCAAACCCACCAACCACAAGCAAAAACAGATCAACACATAAACACGCAAGCACATTCACACGCAAGCTTCACCCACACACACACACAAAAAAAAAAAACACATCACAATCAAAACCAGACACACAGGCACAGACAGAAACAATCATAGACTTCGACCCAGACGCAGACACAGACGTGCATGCACATCTGAGTGCCCATATAAAACGCAGATGACAGGGACTCCATCCCTGTGAACAAGATGCGATGTGATTTTGAAAAGGAGCACTGAATGAAATAAAGACAGTGTTGCAGGGTAGCAACATGCAGCATTTTGAACATAGCATCGTTGAGGAGCTGGAGCAGATTGCAGTTCTCATTCTGTACACACTTACATGGCTTGGACTTGGTAGATTTAATAGCCGATTTTACCGGCTAACCGTGAGCTTTGGTCAATGATGCAACATGTGAGGGACTGCGCTTGCTTGGATGGGCAGCATGCCGTGCTCTGGAACCTGAACGGAAACAGTTGACGCAGGTCCACCAAAACATGCAGGCACATTGTGACTCGCATGGCGTAGTACTGCCACGTTTCGCGACATCAATCCGTTGGCAGAATTGAGGCGCCAACAATGAGCGTGCCTCCTTATTTTTTGTACGGCATTTGCTTTCCTCCATTGTAACATGTTCTGCAAACAGTGCAAGTGGAGAGTACGACGGCAAATGCCGACACCACTTGTGGGCCTCATGGACGGGAAACTATGACCATTGTTCTGGGTGCTGAGAAGTTGCTGTAAGGTTCGGTAAACACACACCTTAGCCCATATGCCCGTTGCGCGAACACGGCATATGCCGACCGTGATTCATGCTTTGCACAGGAGATGACAGAGGATGACAAGTTTGAGCGATTGGAGAAGTTAATCCTCCGCGTCAACAAAGGCACGTTGTCCCGGAATTCGTCGGATTCCTTGCGGGAGGTCGACGGGGAGTTCGCGTTTGATTGGGGCTGATGTTGGGTCCAAGGGGCCTTTCACGACTACCACGGCATATTTTGTTCTGTGGGATTGGATTGCTGTTGGAGGTGTGCCCCCCAAACTCCCCAAAACGGCCTGGCCAAACGGATCTCTGGGTTTCGTCTTAGAGACCTTGAGCCTGTTCCCAATGCGGCTTGAAGGGTTTCACGGTTTCCGAAAAGAGATGCTCCTTTCAAAGAATCTGGGAGGTCTCCTCTTGGTTTCCCCAAACACCCAAAAAAGCGGAATGCAAACGCGGGCCTGTCAGGTTTTTACCTTGCAGGGTGTGGCTTTTGACTCTTTCGACCCCCCCTTCTTCCTCGAAAAGCAACAGAATCAAGGGATTTGCATAAACATCATAAACCGCTTTCCAGGGGGTCGGTTGCTTGGTTTTTAATTAAACAGGAACCGTCAAAAGGTCTGGAATTGTTGGGTCCCATGTAAGTCTGCAGCAAGAAATCAAGTGGCACACCTTGCCCAAGCTAAAAGCTATGGGTTTTTTGCCCAGAGTCCGGGTTCCGTGGATGCGTGGGGCGGGCGGTTTTTCAGGAGGGTTCCGGGGGCGCGTTGCGTTCCGAGGAGGGTTCCGGGTTCCGGAGATGCGTGGCATGTCGGCTCCTTCCGCAAACTCCCGCGCAGAAATGGGATATTTACTACATGTAATTACCATGTACCTCCTGCAACAAAAACGCATCTCATTTGTCTCCAGGGAAGAAAGGCCGTGGCGAGTCGAGCTCTGACAGCCAAGCGCCTTGTCTGAGCGGAATGCCCGACCCGCTAAACCAATCCTCGATTCTGCCAAAAGGGACACCGAACGGGTTGATGGCTCGCGCGGGGCCATAGATGTAGACGGCAAGCTGTTTTGATTCATTTGGGGGTCTGGGCAGACTCAAGCGGAGCGATCTTCTAAACAGAACGGGGGAGATGAACAAATCAGTTTGTGGATTCATGGACACCTAGTGGAGAACTGTATTGACCCTGTCCCAAGAATCAGGCCCTAGGCAATAAGGGACTGGGGAGGTTCTGAAAGAGCCAGCTGCGCACTGGGAACTGCTCCAGTTGTGGTGCCATCTATGGTCAATAGTGTCCAGGTTTCCAACATGTGAGAGGTCATTGGGTCAACTTACCATATGAGTACGTGTCAACATAGTTTGAGGGCCGAAGCATGATAGATTGCCTTCCTTTGGGATTCCATTTAAACCAGCCTGAGATTGGTGCCCTCAAAACACATGCCATAGCATTCCTTTGACCTTCCCAGCTTATTGTTCCCATTGCGCTCGAAGTCCCGCTTTCTCAACAATATGCCACGGCTACCACCAACACCTGTTTTTGTTTGGTTTCCTTCCCACTCTACATGCATGTGTGTATATATGCATGTATGCATGAATGTGCATGATATGCATATATATATATACATACCTATATATATATGTATACATATACATATTACATATGTATGTGAGTATGTACGTATAATATGCATGCATGCATGCATATTTGTTTTTACTGCGCACGCGTGTAGTTTGTAGTTTTTGTTTTTTCATTGTTGCGATTTCAGTGATGGGGATAGTCGCTGCCGCCAAACAGCTTCAAACCCTGCTGAGCATTCAGGTTGTCACAGTTCTTCTTCAGACTTTGCCTGTCCAGGATGCAATCGAGCCCGAGAAAGGGCTTGCTGTTTTACTGGTTCATTGCATGTTGATTTGACCGTGAACTGTGGCATCGAGATCAACAAGAAGTGGACTTGAGCCTGTAAATGCGCCAAAATCAGTCCCGAGGACGCGGTGAACGACCATGCGAATGAATTCTGATTTGTTCGGGTTCTTGTTCGGCCTGCCCGGCTTTCAGACCGAGGTGAATCAGCAATTATACACGTGCTGTGCGTTGATGCTGGTGATGCAGCTGTGCTGTGGATGCGCGGCGCGCACTGCGCACTGCTGTTTGACCAACCTGTGTTGAAATGAGGGAGTGCACGCGCTGAGTGCGTCTGAATGAATCGAGAGTAGCGTCTGGCTTCAGGTCCAAATCGAATCCCCCCATGTCGCTGGCTGTTGGCTACCCTTTATTTAAGCGCCCAAAAAGCTGGGGATTGGGACACTTGGGGACTTGAGATAGAGCTAAGTGCTCGGCGAAGCGCATACAATGCACATGCGACAGGCATGTCCTCTTAGGTCAGTTCCACTCTGGTGTCAGTGTTGCTTCTATATATAAGCATTTGCCTTCAAATCCCAGTCCAATCCATGAGATGTTTTGAGTAGGCCAAGTAGGTTGAGGGCCTGTTCCTTAGAACAGGCATGGGACATTTTGGTCCAGGGAATTGTCCTGAATAAAACACCTCTGCTTACAGGGGATCCAAGTTATAGAAGGCAACGAGGGACCTACCTTTTGGCTTGTACATGTGTTTTTCCTTGCTCACCTGGCAGCTAGAAAATTGGTTCCTTTCGTTACCTTCTGTAGAACTGACCACCACTATTGGCTTGCTGGGGTTGTGCACCCTCTGTTCTTCCATTGACGCCATTCTACTGCAAATCTACCTACCACTGTGTATCCCTTTGATTTTCATTGTTTACATTTACCCGCTCGATTACCCCCAGTGGCTCCCCAGTGGCTTGCATTTGGAAGCGCTGGGTACGATTCCCAATTGAGTGCCAGTTCCTCAAAGCAGAAACACAAACACCCCCCACAAAAAGGAAGCTCAGTTCACATGAAGGTGATGCTTAGTGAGACTGCATGCTACCTACGCTACCATTGGAGCTTATCCTTGGTTTTTCCCTTGGTTCCCTATTTGGTTGTGTCTCCCGGTTGCCCAAACACCGGGGAGTTCAACCGCCCAAACCTCTCTCCGGGTGGGACTCTTTGTCAATCCGAGGAAGCCTCGGCCGTCTCAGATCACAGCTCCAAGAAGTCCAACAATTCCGGCGGTGGCAGCACCTGATCCGCGGGGCTCGGGGATCTGCCGTGGTCCAAAGTGGTAGCACGTCAAGGCCCGTGGTAATTGCAAGGTGTTTCAAGGGGTGTATGATCCGCTGGACTGGAATCTTTGACTCGGAAAGAGTAAGATCCCAACAGGCACCGCACCTGTGCACCCGGCGGCCTTTCCGAAGGTTCGACCCCACGGTGCATTGCGAACTTTTCAACGGACGAGAATTCAGCGACAATTCGTGCGGCAATCAAAGCCGCAGGAGCGGCTCGCGGAAGACCTCCTTTCCCACAATGGGTTGCGGTTCACAGAAAATGCAGAACATATCACGGAAGGAAAGCAGTAGACGTGGCTTTGATGTATGCTGTTTTTTGGGCTCTCAAAGTTTTGCCGCTCTTTTCAGGCGGTCATTTGGGCCCCATGTTTCGCGCCTAGCACCACGCAGGGCTAATTCAGGGCAGGGTTGTCCTTGAAGAGCACCTTGCGGAAAGAACGTCTGAAGAGTTGTAAACGGTTCTTTCCTTCTCGAGTCGAAAGGACAACCGTGCAGGAAGCTAAAAAGGAGCTTTCTCTCCTTGCACCGTGTCACCTCCACCTGCGTTTCTCTGACTCGGCTTCAAGGCCTGTTGGACACAAATAAGGCCAGCGTAGCCCGCACAGAGTCACTGGGCTGGGCCCCGTAAAGTGAAGATGTCGGGCTCCGCATGCTTCTGGACGGCGGTGTCCGAGGCTAAACCACCAATTAGAGGCTCATTTTGAGGAGGTCACCATTGACCCAGGAGAAGCCCTGCATGCATATTGGTGCTATTCCTCGCACCTGACTACTCACGAAGTGTTGCATATTGGTGCATCGCGTTTCCTCACTGGCTTCCTCTCGGCGCTTCCTACTTCCTGCCCTCGACCTATGCCGATTGAATCGGGTTCTGACGGCTCGTGCAAGGGCTCTTAGGGAAGAAGTCAGGATGGCTGGTCCCAACCCAACTCAGGCAGGGCAGCTTTTGCCATCCCATGTGTGTTCTTGGCTATCTTCAATGGTGGAGGGCTCCAACATATACCTCAATTTGTGAACGGTTTGGTGCGCTGTTTTCAACATCAGTGCTTAGGATGCCTCGTTGGACACAGGCCACAGGTATGCTTTTTCATCCAGCAGATTTCTTACCGGTTCAGACGCGCCAACTCACAGTTCACCAAGTTATTGCTACGCAAGACTTCAGCACCTGGAGGAAGAGGAAATGCTGCCCCGCAATGAGATCCCTCCACAGGTGCTTCGTACAAAATGCATGGGTGAGCAACAACTCCACAACCTCCTTTGGAGTTTGTGTGTTTGGGTACCTGCTTTCGCGTGGCTTTTCCAGGAACAAAGGAAAGTCCTAGGGTTCCCACATACCCTTTCGTATCCCAAGACTCGGTTGCAGGATTTTGAAAGCCATGGCTCCCCAGAAGCCCTTTCAACTGATTCAAGATTTGTGGGGTGGGTGACAGGGGTCCTTTTCCTTAGACAAACATTGCAGCTGGTACTTGGCGCGGTTTTCCATGGTTTCCTGTTGAAGTCTGGAAGGTTTGGGGGGGTGTAAACAAACCACAGTTTAGGGAAGACCTATTAGAATGGCTATCTCCTCTGCAAACCAACAGGGGAAGCTTTCCTTTGAGGCTCCGGTTGGGTGTTTTTTGATCGAGGCCAGTTGCCGGAGCAGCGGCTCCAATACTCGGCGGCTCTGCCGACGATGGCTCCTTGGCGAGCAAGAATCGAAGGTGGGTATGTCGCTCTTCTGTTCGAGAGCACCATTTTTTGAGGTGAAATTGAAGTATTTTAAAGGCAACGAAAAGGAAGCCACCATTTCTCGGGGTAACCCAAATGGATAAGTGTGTGTTTTGTTGAAGACACCCTTTTCTCAGATATCCCTTAGTTGGTGCTTGGGATGAGTGGATGAGTTGAACCTCTGGTTTTGATAATGTTGGACCCTCTTCAATGTGACCCCCGCCCCAACAGTGGAACCAGTCAGCAGGACCCTGGTTAGTGACAATCTTGGGGGTTTGGGTGGGACTTGGACTTGCCAGTACTTACTTTAGTATTGCCAGGACTAAATTTAGTACTGCCAGTAGGTACTCTCAGATCCCAGTGCTTGCTTTAGTATTGCAAAGACTAACTCTCAGACTCCCAGTACTTACTTTGGTATTACCAAGACTATCTCTCAGATTCCCAGTACTTAACTTTAGAGCCTCCGGCTCAGTCCGCCGACATTGTCCTCTCCCTTTTCTCCTTTTTCCTCTCTTCCTTGTCTCCCTTGTGTGTTCTGTCGTCCTCTCTCCCTCCCGCTGCTCCCATCCTCCCCATCCCCCCAAGCCTCTCTCTCCCCAATCTCCCTCTCTCGTATGTATGCATGCATGTACATAAGTATGTATGCATGTATGTATGTACGTATGTATGTATGTATGTATGTATGTATGTAATGTAAGGAAGTAAGTACGTAATGTAATGTAATGTATGTAATGTAATGTAATGTAATGTAATGTAATGTAATGTAATGTAATGTAATGTAATGTAATGTAATGTAATGTAATGTAATGTAATGTAATGTAATGTAATGTAATGTAATGTAATGTAATGTAATGTAATGTAATGTATGTATGTATGTATGTATGTATGTATGTATGTATGTATGTATGTATGTATGTATGTATGTATGTATGTATGTATGTATGTATGTATGTATGTATGTATGTATGTATGTATGTATGTATGTATGTATGTATGTATGTATGTATGTATGTATGTATGTATGTATGTATGTATGTATGTATGTATGTATGTATGTATGTATGTATGTATGTATGTATGTATGTATGTATGTATGTATGTATGTATGTATGTATGTATGTATGTATGTATGTATGTATGTATGTATGTAATGTAATGTAATGTAATGTATGTATGTATGTATGTATGTATGTATGTATGTATGTATGTATGTATGTATGTATGTATGTATGTATGTATGTATGTATGTATGTATGTATGTATGTATGTATGTATGTATGTATGTATGTATGTATGTATGTATGTATGTATGTATGTATGTATGTATGTATGTATGTATGTATGTATGTATGTAATGTATGTATGTATGTATGTATGTATGTATGTATGTATGTATGTATGTATGTATGTATGTATGTATGTATGTATGTATGTATGTATGTATGTATGTAATATGTATGTATGTATGTATGTATGTATGTATGTATGTATGTATGTATGTATGTATGTATGTATGTATGTATGTATGTATGTATGTATGTATGTATGTAATGTATGTATGTATGTATTGGGCTAAAGCGTTAACCGTAGGTGGTCGCTTGTCTTGACTCTTAATAAGTATCCACTTGGGCCACCATTTTGGCTCAAGTGGACCTTTTGATCTTTTGTCTTGTGATTTGAAATCTTTCTTTCCCCTACTCTCAAAGCCATGTACGCCCCCGCCTACGCTGGTGCCGCGGTAGCAGAGGCCAAGGCTAAGGCAAAGGCCTCCATGGCAAAGTACCTGGCGAGCCTCGTGAAGAGGGAGGAAGAAGGATGGACCGTTTTGGCTGCTGAGGTCCCTCAGGCACCTGACGAGCGTTTCTTCTCCAGCGCAGATGAGCTGGAGCAGGCCCCCCTTATCCCGGCCAAGCGCAAGGCAGAGGATGAGCCGATGGAAGATGCAGCCCCTGGGGTGGCGCAGGTGCCGAAGGCCCTGACACGCCCCCCAGGGGCGTTCCTGGAGCTCCTGAACCCGCCGGAGGAGGACGTGCCCATGGAGGAGCTCCTGGCGAAGGACGAGAAGGAGCTGCCGATGCCCAGGTCCCCCTCGGCTGCAGCCCGCTTGGAGGAGGCCCGCCTGGATGCCCGGGCAGACGCCAAGTGGCAGAGGCGCCGGGAGCTGATGGCGAAGGTCAAGGAGCAGGCGTCCTCGGAGGAGGATGAGAACCCCGCAGCCCCCCCGCCGGGGGGGAGCGTGTTCACCAAGGCCCTCAAGGTCTCGGAGGGCCTCTACCAGTTCAGCGACGACCAGATGGCGGGCGACTTCCCTTGCTTCGATGCGACCACGGCCACTAGGCTCCGCCGACTGCAGGCCAAGGACGTCCAGCGGCTCCTGCGAGGCTTTGAGGGCCCCCAACTCAAGCAGGGGGGCCTGGAGCGCGTTGTGGAGGCCTTCTACATCGCCAAGATGAAGTACGAGCATGAGGCCCGGCTCAGCACCCCGGGACAGCAGGTTGGCAAGCGCGCTGGCTTGGGGTACGGGGGCCTGGAGAACCGCCCCCTGGGCAAGGTGCCCACATCCTGGATCTGCCCCTGCTGCACCATGCCCTGGGTGAAGAAGGGCGCCACGAAGTGCATGGGGTGCGGCAAGAAGACGGAGCCCATTGACACGGCGACCAACTCGGCCACCCTGGAGATGGCGGGCACGCATTGGCAGTTGACGGTGGATGACCAGGGCAATGCGGTCTGGACGGCGGCCCGGTCCGCGGCGCAGTCCCCGACTCAGTGGCCCCCTCCATCTACCGCAAGCTCGGCTACACCAACGACATGATCAAGCTGATGGGCCTGGACCCCTCCGCCCCTGGGTGCCGGACAGGTGCCGATGGCCCTGACATCCGCCCCAGGGGAGGCGAGGGCGATGAGGGGATCGTTTACCCCCCCATCACGGCGGACAACGTCCACGGCGTGGTGGGTAAGGACTACCGGAAGAAGAACTATCCGGTGGAGATGAAGCATGTCTTCTGGGCGCACATGGAGTGTGGCCTGGTCCTGAGCTCCGTCACCCCGTGGGAACTCATCCCGAAGACAAAAGGGGAGACCCGGGGGGGCTACATGTGCAAGTATTGTAAGGGGTACTGGCGTGCCGGGGGAGGGGGCACCCGCCTCCTCCAGATCCGGGCCGGCAAGGCCATCTTGCAGCTGGTGTTGGACGAGCCGCCGGAGGGCCTCTACAACCGCTGGGTGAAGGAGCGGCTGGAGTACTACCGCCGGGTGG